CAATCGACCGTATGAGGCCAGGGTCTGATGCATTTATGTAGTCATTTGATGGGTATTTATGAAACACCTATTATATGTCAAACACAAGGTCAAAGTTTAACATAAAGCAGATTTTCAGTGCAGTTTTCTCGAGGCAAAACATGATTTTAGCTCAAAACACCAGGTTTACAAAACGTGGCTGTGTGGTTCAGTCAGTCCCTGCAAAGCCAAGGGTCACATGGCTGCCCCTGTCCAGTCCTGCCTGTGGGCTGATGGCATCGTGCTTCATCAGAGGTGGTTCTGAGAAGTTCTTGTAGCATACTTTAGCTTCACAGTTCTCTGGCTCCATTCAACAATAAAATCTAGAGTATTTAGAGGAGAAAAGCAGACCTTCATGCATAATTACTGGGATAATTATCCAGGTAGCCAGCCTTGGCAATTAAAACAAGAGAAGCTGTCTATTTAGCTACATCATAGTTAAAGTGTTTGATCCATCTACAGTTACTGCCTAATTAATAATACAGTCCTTCTGGGCTCTTTCATGTCCACCTTAGAACATGTGGGTCAAATGTGCCCGAGAGAAAAAGGCATAGGCAGGGCTGTTTTCCACCGTGATGTGGGCGGCATGTTCACCAGCTTTGGCAAGAACAGCTAAAATAGAAGCTGCAGCTAGAGCTTCCAGAGTGAAATTCTAATTACTCCAGCAACGGAGTGTTTAGACAGATACACTTAGAAGCGGAGAAATAGGAATCTACCAATATCTACCAGTATCAACTATCACCATGATCATTTTAAAAAATTTGAACCAGCTTTTAAGATAAATGCCCACCCTGTACCAAGGTACGCTGCAAAGGAGTTTTGGAATGCATCAAAGTTCATATAGGCATTAGCTTGTTTCAAAATATTGTTAGGGTCTGAATTGGAGCCTCAGTCCAGTAGCCATCTATTCTTCATTAGGAAGAATCATGGTTGCACTACGGGTCTCCAGCAGCTTTTTAAAAATTAAGGAAATAAGTATTGATATGTGAAATCCCTGGTCCTTTCACGTCTCTTATTTTAAAAGCTGTCATTTCTTACTGAACTGCTTTTGGTGACCCACACTGCTGCTTGAACGGCTGCTGTTTCAAATTAGGACTTTTAAAAGCACAGAGGCTCGAAATTGAAAGCAGAGCACTGGAAAATTTAGAGCAACAGTGGTTTGTCCGATCCTTTGATGAGCCCTGTGCTAACGCAGGGCCTGTCTTGTTAGCTGGCCATCATGTCTACCTTATCTATCAGTCATTTACCTTATTGTAAATGATGGTGGACGTGAACTTTCCTTTAAAAAGATCATGGTGTTTCCCAAGCCATGTGTTCTTCAGTGATGCTCAGCCTGGTCAGGTGAGATGATCGTTCTAGTCCTGTCCAGCTAGTGTGGAATCCTGGTCAAGGACGTTAAGGGAAGGGATGAAAGTAACACGGGCTATTTTCTACGGGCAACACTGTTGCCTGATCGGAGAGGACATTATAAGTTAGCTCTGCTGTGGCCCTTTGCCCTTTCCTGGAAATAGATAACTCCTGAAAAGACATTGGCTACACACATAGCACATACTTAAAATGACCAGAGTGCCTTCTGTATTGAATTGTGTACCAGATTTGAAGTGTCTTGAAAGTGGGAGCTGTGTTTTATTTCTTTATCCATTACATACATATATTTGTTTTGCTCAGTGAATTTGCTAAGCCACGGATCCAAAGTATGATCTTAGAAGAGATATTGGGTAAGGTTAGGTTCACTAGGCTAGGTTGTCCTGGGGAGAATAAATGGGTGAAGTGCTCGGCAGCTGCTAACTCAAAGGGAGGAGAGGAGGTGTGAGTACATATGGCGGCACCGCGGAAGAAGAGTCTGGCAATCTACTTTTTGCAAAATCAGCCACTGAAAACTTGGTGGAGCACAGTTGTACCCCGGCACTCATGGAATCAGCAATGGTCTGGCAGCAGATTAGGGAATAGACAATAGTGTATGCTGCTTTTATTGGTGGGGCTCTGGAGTGCTAGTCTAGATACAACAGGAGTCGGCTCACAACTTGCACATACACCTTTCTGCCCATCTTCAGTGGCATTGTACTGTATGTGTAGGCTTCTATTTTTTACTGGAAGCCACCTTTTGATTATGTGCCGATTGAGTATCCCTCCTTTCCAACTGATTAGACTGACTGTCACCCTCAGTTTGGTTCACCCTCGCCCAGAATAGTAAGGCCTCTCTGGGATAGACCCAGCTCTGCTCAGTATTTGTAGGGAACCAGCAAGGCCACAGACTATAAGGTATGGTTTTGATTTTGCACCTTAAAGGGGATGTGGTTATGGCAGATACTTGGGATATCTTTGTATACGTATCAGTTAGAATCTTCTTGGAA